CGCGCGTGTGTGTGTGTGTGTGTGTGTGTGCGCGCGTGTGTGTGTGTGTGTGTGTGTGTATGTATGTATGTATTTGTGGGTCTACACTGTAAGATAAGGGGGGGAGGGGGGGATGACACCTCCATAACGTCAAACGATACATCCTCCCAACCACTAAAACCTTCACCGACATACAGGTTTGCAGTTCCTTTAAAAGCATCAGTATACAACATTTCTCTTATTTACAATCATTGAAAAAAAAAAAGAATCATCATTTCTCTCAGAGAAGATTAGTAAAAGTGACTGAGCCACCATAAAAGAGTATGCAACTCCTAGGAGTTAGTATTGGAAATTTCTACAAAAAATTTCTAGGTCATTTTAAAGGCCAAGAGCCATGATTTACTGAAGAAATACAGTATTTAGGTGYCCTATCTACAACAGGTAAGTGTGGTAGTAACGGTGTAGCATTCACCATCGCGCACTGATAATAATAAAAAGATAATGCGTCTCTGCGTTCAAAAGGTTCTTTCAAAAACTTCACTGCTTTCACATTAAAAGATATGGTAAGTTTTTAAAAAAAAAACGAAGAAAACATAGAAGTGTTACCCATGTTTGGTACTGGGGCAAGATAAAGCAAATAAACTAGTGTTGATTACATACTCAGCTGGTTGTCTACGGTACAAAAAACGAAGAAAGTTCCAGTCTGTGTGAAGGGCACGACCACGGACACACAGGATCTGTGTCGATTCATTAAGGTTGAACATCATTAAAGGGCTCATTTGCTTGTTTCTCTCTCTGAGTGCTGCAGTGCGCGGTTCTTCAAAGACTAGGCTGTGCAGGAAGCTGGGTGAAACTATTTTATGTGCAATTTACAGCCTCCTGAGGAAATCCCACTTGTTTGTGAACGTGAACGGCGGGGAAAGGGTGGGGGTGGGGGGGTTGCGGAATGAGACAAGGCTGCAGGTGCTGCTGTTCAAAGAGGCGTGTCATAGTAGTCCGTGGGCTGATCAGTTCCGGTGGATTTCTGCTGTTTCTGTTGATGCTGCTTCATGATCTCCTTCACCTCCTCTTCCAGCTCGGGCGGTATGATGAACTGGTCGTCGGGGTCGGGCTGGGCAGGCGCGGTGAAGTAACCTCCGGACTTCTTGGAGGGGGCGTCGGYCGCCACCTCGATAAGGTTGTGACTTTTCTCCTGGCGTGCCACGGAGCCRTTTACCCTCCGCTTGCCCGTCAGCTTTCCGCCCTCGCCGCCTCCCGCTCCGGCGCTCTGCCACGACTCGTCTCGCTCAAGCCCATTCTCGGCGTCCCCCTGGCTCGCGTCTTCCTCTGGGGGCTCGGGGGTGCTCGGTGGTGGAGGTGGAGGAGGGAGAGTGAGCAGRCTGCGTTCCTGGCTGGTGGCAGGAGGCGCAGACGTTTGGGGCGACGACAACGACGAGAGCTCTGCTCTTAGGCAGTGAACGTCTGCCTCCACCTCCACTCTGCTCCCGTTGGAAAAGACGCCAGCGATGGGCTCCTCGTCCTCGCTGTCCAGCCCGTTGTCGGACAGGGCACTGGAGAAGGTGGCGCTAGACAGCTGCCTCTGAAAGGACCCCGCCAGGCAGGCRGGATGGAGAGCGCAGCAGCTGCGAGCAGAAGGCAGCTCTGAACCTGGAAGCAGATACTGGCAGGGCTGCGTGGCTGTTTGGGCTTGCTGGTGCTGCAAGGACAGCAAATGAGCCTGCTGGTGCAGATGGAGGTGGGAGTGGTGCGGCTGCTCCTGCAGCAGCACCAGGGAGCTCTGCGGGGGCTCGTCGGACGAGGCGGTGGAGCCCACCTCGCTGCTCATCTCGCTGGTGCTGATCTCGCTGCTGATTTCACTGCAAGAGGACGGCGGGACGGCGAGGGAGCCGTCGGAGGGGCGGTCCTTCATGGCAGAGGACGACGGGGGATAGGGGCCCAAACCGGGGCTGGGGGGAGGCTGAGGAGGCTCGGCGCAGCAGCAGGAGCAGCAGTCCTCGCTCACGCTGAGCTGGACGACGACGGCGCTCAGGCTGTCGGTGCAGCCGTAGCCCTGCGCCAGAGTGCAAAGCTTTTTAGCAGCAGCCAGGCCRTCGGGGACGTTGCGGACGGCCTCCACGGCTTCAGTGGGCGACATGGCATCCCACAGGCCACGGCTACCCAGTATGAAGAACTCATCCTGAGGGGTCAGAGTGACGGTCTGAACGTAGGGACATGGGATGACGGAGGGGTACAGAAAGGAGTAGCCCATAATCCGCGTTGAATCGGTCACCCCATTCACCTTGTTGTCCTTAAGAAAAAGATACAAATCAATCAGTGAGAACTTAAAATCACATTTACAGCAAATTACTTCAGCAAACATATTTTATAATCTCTACCTCAGTGACAATGGCTCTGTACTGCCTGATCCGACGGTATTCATCCTCGAGCCCCACGTTGTGAAGCAGTGACAGGGACATCGGCTTTCCGTCCCGACACAAGATGGCCTGACACTTTCCCACATTAGCAGCTGTGAGGGTGAAGCAGCCGCCGGGATCAGTGGGGTCATGTCGAATGTGACACAGAGCCGCCGATCCCCCGAGTTTCTGCCCTGCAGTTCCAAGTTTCCTGCAGAGGGAAAGAAGAGGAGATACAGGTGGAGGGGGGTTAGATGATCAGTATTTAAAGTACCTGTGACATCAACTTTTTCTWATAAACATGAATGCATTTTTGRAAAGATAACACTGATAACGTATTGCAAAACAAATTTCACGCTGCTTAAATGAACGGGTGTTGAGATATTTACATGTGAAGAAACAGGAAGTGATGTCAAAGGGGAATGTCTGAATGTAAGCAGAGCATTGTTACAAAAGCTAACAACACAGATTGTAGAGAAGAATCTGATGTTTCTTTAGATTATTTTTAGTCGCTATCAAAGAGAGACGAAGAWGAGTTAAAACTTAAATAATTTCATTTTAATAAACAAAGACCAGAGAGTTTATTTTATTAATGAGTTCCCGTTTGATGCCACTTCCTGTTTCACTTTGGCTGAGCCAGATTCAAAAGAAAATAGGCCAGTTATGTGACAAAACAGGTAAAATCATGAGTACTATGCCAATTTTCTTAAGTATAAAGATGCTTTCTTTGACTTCTTGTATTTGAAGGATAGGCATGTCACAGGCACTTTAAAACTTATAAGAAAACTTGTAAATTAGAGCATCKTTGTATTTCCATCAAGCATTAAGTGCATTTTCCATTTCAACATGTACACAGCTGGTTGRTAAAGAAAAAAAAGAGAAAAACAAATAGAACAAATAATCACAGATAGGTTTATGCATATATACAACACAAGTTTTAAATAAGTAGTAGTATTTACATATATACTATTACTTAGAATTTTATTTTGCRGACTTTAGTTTTATTTTTTTTCCAAATTCTTTAACAGCTGACAAATTTCATTAAAAAAGGCAAATCTGTTGTTTACCTTTGCATGACAAGGAAGGTGTTGGTCATGTAATCCTCTTCGCTTTTCGTCTTGTGTAGCTCTTCAGCCAGCACGTCGTTCATCGTGCACTGCAGGAGGTAGGGCACTTCCACATTCTTGTCTCCATCAAACACGCCGTACAGGGCTTCACGACTCCCACAGAAACTGTTCACTGAGAGAGCTGCGACACAGAGTCTGAGGGAAGAAAAAAAGGACTATATGGACTCTGTTCGACCACTRTATATTTCATGATTCATTTGGCAGTACGCAACAACCTGTCATCAGAGGGAATTASCTCATTGAGAATCACCTGCATGAAAATTGTTGCTAAACAAATGCATCTACTCACAAATGTTTGTTGTCTATTTATGATTTATTAGTGAAAGAATGCAAGTGTGTTTTAAAAAGAGCACCACTTTCTTTATGAGAGTCACATAGCTTTGATATTCACCAGAGGTTTAGATTAGTGAGGCTTGGAAGGACAAACGAGATGGAGGTTGTTTTTTTTCCTCTGTTCACTGAGTTGAACTTACTTGTTCTTTACGCCCGAGGCCTCTGTGTAACCATGACTCCACACAGCAGGCCCACCAGATGCCTCGCTCGATGAAAAGGTTGGAGGTGGATCAATACGGAAACAGCGGATATTACTGGAATACAAAAAAATAAAAAAGAAAGAAATGGATCAAAACCACTGCCTTACGTTGAGGCAAAGAATGTAGATAATCCACAGTGAATAGCTCAAACTAGCTTTCTACAAAAGACAAACTTAAACAACATATTAATWTTAAWTAAAATGCTGAACATGTTTTGTCACACACTATAAGTCTACAAAATTCAATTCTTTATTTATTTAATCAGGACAGTGCACATTAATGAACATTCTTATACTTCTGTATAGACTGTAAATGAGCCAGATTATAGCATAGTTGCTAATTTACATCTGTAGTCTTGAGGCAGGAAGAAAGGGGAAAAGAAAAGAAAAAACAGCACAAGATGTTCAAAAAACAAAACAACATAATATCACAATACACAATCAAACAAAAACACATGCAAAAAACAAATACATATCCAGACAATTACAAACAACGATAGATTTAAAATTATTCAGTGAGTGCATGACTGGGAGCTTTTAAGAAACTGTTTAAGATGCTTTTTAAATGTACAATAACTGGGACAATCCCTTATAGTTGTTGGGAGAGTGTTCCAAAAGTGACCTCCTTTGACTGACAGAACAGTTTGTCCAWAGGTTGTTTTCCTATGAGGAATCTCTAGGTCTCCTCTGGAGGAGGCTCTAGTGCTAAAACCTCTGTCAGTCCTTGGTTTAATATAACTAGAAAGTGGAGGTGAAGCTAAGCCATTAAGAACTTTATGTATTAAACAACTATTTTTAAAATTAATACAATTTTCAAAATTGACCATATTATATTTTTCTAAAATATTACACTGATGGAAGGACAGGAGCTTTTGATCGAAGATTTTTAATGATTTTTGAATAACATTTCTATTGGTTTTAAAGTTGTGTCCCCAGTGAGTGACCAGGTTGTGATGCAGTAATTTATGTGAGAATATCATTGAGTGGAGGAACATTTTTGCACAACTGATAGTCATTGATAATTCGATTTGCCTAAAGTTTTGCAAAMTGAATTTAAKTGTATTTGCAGTAAGTTTGATATGTTTTTTGAATGAAARTGTTGGGTCCAGTGTGACTCTCYAAGGTACTTGAATTCGTCTACAAGGTCAAGTTCCACTCCCCCCAAGAACACATTGGACCGCCGCAGTTTTGTGTGTCTCTTTGTGAACATCATAGAAACAGGTTTTTTTTTTGTTCAATAACAGACAAGATTTAAGAAGCCAATGCTGGATACTACTACAAGGCATACTTAAGCTGCTCGAGGGTCTTGTGGTCCAGGCTCAGACGTGGGTTCCCAGTGAGGTCCAGCTCCTGAAGCTTTGGAGGCAGACTCTCCGGCAGGGTGATCTCACTCAGCTCGTTACAGCTCAAATCCACACACTGACAACAGAAAAAAAAAAGACAAGGCATCACAAATCCATATGGAGAGCTGACATGACCTGAGAGACGCCTTCCTGCCGCTGACTTACTTTCATCTCCATCAGCTGCATGACCTCAGGAAAAACCTCAATGGCGTTGGAGTGGGCGATGAGCGTGTGCATCCGCCGACAGTTCATGATGGTGGTGGGAACGGTCTTCAGCATGTTTCCACTCAGGTCAACCTCCTCCAGCTCCTCCAGCTTGGCCATTTTACTGAAAGATGCAGAAGAAACGGGTGAGCTGGACTGTGACCGAGCTGTTTGACAGTCGAGGATGCCGAAGCAAACTTTTCAGATGTTTACCTGGCTGGGAAGGTCTGAAGGTGGTTGTAGGCCATGTGCAAAACTCGCAGGTGTGTGTGGCCTGTAAGCATGGGCACACACTTGTCCGTCAGCCAGTTATTTGTCAAGTAGAGTTCCTGCAGGATGCTGTGGCTCTCCTCTGACAGACTGGATGGTGGTAGATGCTCCAGCTTATTGGCTGATGCATTTACACATCGTAGGCTGGCAAAAAAAAACAAAAAAAAATCGAGGTAAGTTACATTCTAAATGCATAATGTACAGGTTGTTTGCCTTTAATTATCATGTTTTAAAAAATAACAACAATACATTGTTTTGCTTTTTGTTTCATTKGATTAGAAAGTCATCCCTTCCCAGYAATGATTTATGCTACCTGTCGGATTTGAGGAACAGGTTGCAGGGAAGTTCCACCAGTTGATTATGCTGAACATCTAAAACCTCCAGCAGAGGGCGCTCCACTCTTTCAGGCAGCTTCTGCAACTGGTTGTGTCCTGCACTGAGCTTCCTCAGACTGTTGCTGCAGAACAACCTGCAGCATAGGGGGAAATACAGATGGCACAATGAACAGCAATATGAGAAGATGATCAAGATAAGTGACAAATAGTCAAAAAATGGACTAAATACAAAACAAGAAATAAATTACAAAACGATAARAATAGGTAAGTAGGTTTTCAGGTAGATAAAAATGGGGAAAGTGAAGGACAACGATGGGGTTGTAGATGAGGAAGAATAGGAATTAGACAGTARCAGTGCCTCTAGTGGAACCTGTAAGGGAAATTTATCATCTTGACACTTATTGGGTAAAAAATAAATCTCCAGGCAATGAGGGGGACCAGAGGTACAGAGGGAAAGAATCCAAGAGAGCAAGGTTGACAGAGTCGATGCAGAACACAGAAAAAGAGGAAAAGGTGCACCTGAAGTGACCTTCTAAAATGCTACATGAGGGGAAGGAGAATGTGTGAAAGATCGGGAGGTTACAGGCTATCGGTGTGATTTATGAGGCTCTATGGGGGATAGATAGGATGCCTGACAAACGGCATGGAGAATAATGCTGCGCTGTTCTGCATTTACAAGCAYGTTCGCTGTGAGGGAGACTCACCTCGCCGGGAGCTCACTGATGAGATTGTGGCTCACGTCCAGGACTTCCAGTTTCTTAGCTTCGCACAGCCAGTCTGGCAACGACTCCATGAGGTTCCTGCAGAGAGGGTGATGATGATGATGAATTATGTGCGGTTTGCAAACTGAATTACCTAAAACGGAATATAATGCACTGAAAACAAAAGAGCTTTTTCTCCCCGTATTATGTAACGGCTCAGCTTCAGATAATTGAGGTCACAGCAGTGCTGTGCTACAGTCACATACTTTATACTTCCTTAAAAATATTCTTTATGTGACTTTCCTAATGCCACTTAGGTTAAGTATAACCTTTTAAAATAAGAGCAGCTTTTAAAAATAGGCACTCTTTCCATTCTGACTATTAATGAAGCTGATCCAGTAGCTTGTCTTTCATTTTATTTTCAGGGTGGATTCTGAGGGAAAAGTGTGATCAACACAAAAAAAAATAAAAATAAAATCTTTACTGTAAACAAACTACATTTGGTTAGTCATCACTTGTCATTGAAGTTTAATAGTGTTTTTGTCTGTGTCTGTGTGAAGGTGAATGCACAAAAATGTTTTAGGAGTTGTTCCTACCTCGATATATCCATGTAACTAAGATTGGAGGGCACAGGGTTGATATCCAGCTGTCGTACCTCTGTGGGGAGAAATCCAAACAAATTAACCTACAGCAAGGACAGACTAAAACAGAAGCAGGAGGACAGAAAATGAAGGAAGGCATTTAAAATGGGAAGAYGAGGGATGACAAGCTAGAGCTGAATGATGRAGCGACACAATTAGACGGCTGCGTTGATGAGAATTATTGACGTACGAGAACGGAGGAGCATGAGAGCGACATTTGAGAGGACTGGACCTCCCAGGTTTATAGAAGAGAAAGTCAATTACAGGTGAAATGAATGRTACAATTACGTTTCTATTTTTAGCCCTTGAATAATGCCGCAGATGCTATGCCGTCCTGTGCCAAACACCCACCGTTGCTGGAGGCGTGGATGCCTTTGAGCAAGCAACCCTTGACTTTGAGACTGGTGATGTGGTTCCTCTCGCAGTGGAGAACCTCCAGCCGGGGAAAGACAGAGGCGTCCAGCTCTGTCAGACGGTTATCCCTCACATCCAGCTGGGTGACGTGCCTCAGCAGGTCGGGCTCRTCTGGCACCATGACAGAGATCTTATTCAACCTAGCAGAGCAGGCAGGGTGTGGAGAAAAGGGTCAACTCCAAGGGGATCAGACTGTGGTATTTCTTGYAACACCTTTTTGGTTTTAGTTTTCACCTCAGTTATTTTAAAGGGGCAATATCATGTAAAATCAACTTTTTTG